ATATATCTAAATTTATATATTTATATATATATAATACCACCCATGCTATTGAACTACACCCATGCCCCCTATTGACTTATGGATATGAATGGTGTTTGTGTGTCCAGTGTTAGGTATTGATATGTCTTGGTGTGTTGTGGTTTTGGTTTTGGTATTTGGTATCACTCTATTTGTTGTGTATTCCCTCTCTCGTACACATAGTCCTTATGTAAGTAGCATTGTATTATAACTTGCTGTTTCTCTCTCTTCTGCGTCGCTGGTGATTCCAGCAGTGTGCACTCTATCACTCTTTTGCGGTGACTACCAATGGTTAATATATATACAACATACTTATACACCTTCACACTTGGTTCTTATATATATAACTTCAACTTGTACACCTTCACACTTGGTTATTATATATGTGACGTAAACTTGTACGCCTTCACACTTTCCCAGAGTGTTTGTACGCTGATGTGTATTCACCTGCCTGATTTGTTTCCCTTTCTTATCAGCATCGTTGTTTGCCGATGTGTTACTGGACACGGAACTGTTCACACTCGAGGGTATGGGATCAAAGAAGGGCCGTTATCTGTTTATGTACAATGCTTTGACAGAGACAGCCCGGGCCAACTCGCCATGATCTATGATAAATAGAGTAGTAATGAAATACAGCTGTATTAAAGTAATATAGCTGTGATAAAGAACTAACGTAATATAGCTGTAATAAAGTAATATAGGTGAAATAAAGTAATATAGCTGGATACTATGTACACACAACAAAATATGTGTATTTTGTTGTGTGACATTGATTTCTACCCAAATATAGTCAAGACCATAGCCAGAAATATAGTCATAGATATACCTATAGATATTATCATAAATATACTCATAGATACAGTCATAGATATATTCAGAAATACAGCCATAATATATAGCCATAGGTATAGACATAAATTTCGCCACAGGTCAGAAATATAACCCTATTATATAGCCATAGATTGTATAGGCAGAAATACAGCCATAGTTGCCAGAGAAATAGTCATAAATGAAGCCATAGATATATCCAGAAATATAGCCATATACATCACCATAGAGTATAGTTATAAATGTAGCCATAGATGTAGCTAGAAATTTAGCCATAGATGTAGCTAGAAATTTAGCCATAGATACAGCCTTGAAAATAGCATAAGTATAATCAGAAAAATAACGAGAAATATAGCCGGAAATATAGCCATAGATATAGCCATGAATATAGTCATAACTATAGCCATAAAGGATTCATGCACATAATTATAAATATAGTCCCATGCTCTATATACATACTATATTGGGATTGTGGCACAAGTGAGAGATTATGCTCATCGGTTAGGAGTATGATTGTGGTGGTCTAATGACTGATGCGTATCTTAGTGCGTTGTCCCTGTTGTGTTATACCTCGCATATTGACTGCGCATTGTTCTGCTGATCGGCCTTATCAATATCAAAATTACATCATCTTTCAGCGATACAATCTAGAAGCTCATCGAGTGTATCACAAATGTTTTGAATCAATTGCTAAAACGTGTGTTCACCCTTTTACTGTCAGAATCCTTCATATTTGATGTTCAAAATTTTAATACTCGTGCAATTCCAACCAGCCTTGTTTGCTGGCGTAACTAAATATGATAGCATCAAAATAATATAGACTACATCGATCTGAACTTGAAGTCTGTCCTGTGTATGATAAAAAATTTGATTCTAAAATATCAATGATCCGTGTGGAATTCTGTATACATATCAATGAATGGATCAATCTAGTAACTGTATTTTTTGTCATGTTCCTTGACCTCAGTGCATGCTGCCTTGCACACTATCTCCATGTACTCGTGGCTCTCTACACAACGACCCGACTGTGCCAGCTGGTCGCAATTCACAGACCAGTCCTTCACGGCGTGCGCATCATAGCGATCGGCATACTGACTGGCATTGGGACACTTGGGCAGCATATACTCAGGCAGGGTGTCACACTTGCCAAAGAAGGCCCATCCTGTGCAACAGTCTTCAAAGTCTCCCCATGGATCTCCGTCACAATCGTTGTTGTCATCGCGAGTTCAGTCCGCTAGGCAGTCGTTATTATCGAAACTGCATGCGGCGTTGTTGCAGGCGTCATTACACACTTCGTCGCCTAACATCGATGGGGAGCATTTCGGACTGCAGTTGTGCTCCTCGCAATCACCAGAGTCATGACGACACTCCTCAGTGTTGCACAGCTTATCACACATTCCATCACCTCGCCACTCCATGGGACACAGATCCGTGTCACACTCTCCCTCGTTGGTATCAGTGGCCTCGCAGATACCATCAACATAGAACCCATATTCCAACTGCTTATGACACACTTCAATTTCCGCGCAGACCGTTCCAAGGGCTGAGCATCTGTCCGTGCCTTGATCAATCATTTTCTGCCAGGCCTGTGCAAAGGCTTTGGCAAACTTCTCATCACTTTCTGCGAACTCTAACGCATATTGGCGCATGTCCTTGCGCTTCAGCATCCAGAAGTCCACAGGCAGACGTATGACCGCGCGAGAGGTGCCATTTACACACAGGGTGTCTGTGATTTTCATGTTCTTAGCGTCTGTTGGTAATTCACAATCACGCATTACCTGTATTTCCTCATCTCTGGCGACTCGGTTGGTACCGGTTTTGGTCGCCTCAGGTGCGGTTACCTTGGTTATACCCTGCTCTCCGCGGTTTCTGGCTTGAACATTGTGATCACTGGGGAATGTGGAGTCGTGAGAAGGTGTGTATGTGATCGTATCGTCCTCAAATCGCGAGACCCAGAACCATTGCCAATCATCTTTTACCATATCTGAAAAGAAGTCAAATCCCTTGCCATTCACATCCCACTTCAAAGGATCTGCACTCCTAGTACCTTCGTATCCAGAACATTTTGCATGCGATGCACCAAAGCTATGAGCGCCGCCAGTAAGCGCAACAAGTCCGTCGAGTTCGCAGCCGTACTGTTCGGTGAACATCCTTATTGGATTGACATCTGAGGCAGGTAGGTGTGAATTCAACTCTTCCTCAGGGTCGTCCTTGACATCGTATCGACCACCGGTTACTTGGATGTGATGCATTGCCGGAAATCCCATCTCCTGCAGTCCAATAGTAGATGCAATGACCAGCGTATCGGCAAAAGACACCTTGTGTTTTGAAGCAAATCCCTCGAGTATCTCTGTGGCTGATAATATACAACCGTTTGGACCGAAGTTCTTCTCTGTATCGTGCCGGAAGGTGCCCCCATTGATACCTCCACGGTTACTTTTATGCTGGAATGTACAGGCAGCGTGGAAGGCTGTCCGAATCCTGGGTATTGGTCATCATCTCGAAAGTCCTCACTATTGCCATTTAGGAATTCGGTGATTTCCTCAACCAAGTTGTCGTACTGCGCCTGTGCTGTGGAGGTAAGCTCAGAGTACCATTGTTTGTCAAATATCTGTTGCTGAGCGGCGACAGTAGCTGCACAGACAGCTGCCAGGAGACTGATTGTGCTAATTCTTACCATTGTGTTGGAGATGTAAATATTATTGACCCAGTAAATATGGAAAACTCGGCGAAGATTCTGATTGACACAACTCGATATGTGGTTCTTTTACACATTACATCAAGGTGACCCAGCGCATTCAACACGGTTCACACTGCAATTTCGTCATCTGGAAATATTGTCAAAAATTCAGAGCAGCAGCTCATCCTTGATACTGTTGTAGTTATTCATCGCATTGGCTGAGATGAGAGGCATACGTCACCATTTGTCTAGATCCACTTCAGCTGCCTTTGACTTTCAGTTTTTAGTTTTTAGTTTTTTACGGTTACCTTGGGCCTTGGCTTTCATTTATGAGCACCTATAAAAAATATGAGCACTTCTGTTTGTTTTTTTTCGTCTAAAATTCGGTAAATAAATTCCCAATTTCCCAACTGTATGTACATATCTATCACCCTTTATGGGTCTATTTCTGGGTATATTGATAAGAAAATCAAGTTCAAAATACCAATTTTTGACCACGCCCCTCATAGTCATTTGTGACCTCAATTTCCATTTTTATTCGAGCGCTCGGAATTCTGAATTCAACAAACACAGAAGGGCGAAGTTCCAACATAAATTATTTATAAACAAAATGCTATGTATTGGTTTTTTTTAATTTATCTATATATATATAACTAATTAACTATATATATGTAAATGTATGTATATATATAATTTTGTTTTAAAACAAATAAACAAATTCCAACCCAGGCAGTTACCCAATACATACCGCCATACCCAATATTGAATACGAAGTACATTTTGTATATCGCATCTGGGTTCAGCTACCAGACCGACAGATCCAAAGATATGCGTTAGATTTACTCTTTAAAACTAGCTCTTGACTAATAAAATAAGATAGTATTTATTTTTGCCATACGTAATATTTTATTTGCTTTTTTTGTATTTTGTTATAAACCAATTCAAAACAATAAAAAAATATGTACATAATCGAACATAGAGCTAATACGTTATATCATAGCCTTCTGACTATCAAGAATATATGTATTATCATTTTAGGGCTTGCACTGTTCAGTGTTTAGTGTTCGAGGCCAACTTCCAAAGTGTTCCATGGACATATCTGTCCTGTGGAGTGTGGGGAACTGGAAACTCTAGAGAGAGAGCAGGCTGGTAGACTCGTCAAAGAGTGAAGTCACACGCGGTCAAAGTTAAATACTATTAAAGTAGTCGGTACTATTTATTTACTGCGAGTATTATTTTAATGTATTTTTTGGACACTGTTTGCTTTAATCTTGGTATTTAGAATAGTGAATACAACCGTCAGACGGACACACACATATGTATAGATTAAAAAAAATTGGGGCATACGGAGCCGAAAACCTCTCCCAAAAAAACTTGTGTGACCAGAACGATAAATATGAATAGCTGCGCTCCCGAGTCATAAGTCGTAACAAATTGTATATTCTGCTACACCCATCAGTTTCTGCCTTTAAGCCACCTAACCATGGCACTCGGTAAGCCTCGTTGTGAGTTGTTATAAGTTTTCGATGCGCTACTTTGTGGTTCAAAGCGATCGGCATTGTCGTTAATCGCTTGTCCTGTACACTCACAAACACTATGGCTTTGGTTCCTTTCAATGGTTCTTTTGAGTGCTGCTAATAAACTACATGGTGTAACAAAGTCAAGTAGATCCTTGATAAATCAGTCGTTTATATGTGCGCATTTAATCCAAATGTGTGCATGAGATCGTTCAACTGAGTCTGTTGAGATTTGTATATGCCACACGGATGGTTTAGTACAGACGTACCGACACTTCACTCCAATGGAGAGTGTAAAAATACTCGATGCGCTCTACTCAACCACGCTGCACAAAATTTTTCTCGAGATTTACACTATACAATCTTCATATGTATATCCACTAGCTATATAGTATTCATACAATCTGTATATTTAGCACCCAATAGCTATAGAGTATCAATAAAATCTGTATATGTAGCACCCACTAGCTATAAAGTATCTATACATTCTTTATATATATAGTACCCACCAGCTACAGAGTATCTATCCAGCAGACCCCAAGCACCGAACGACTTCAGGTTCAGGCTAGCGTACCCATCGGGTCCCACGGGGGCAGGACAGACGGGGTTGCAGTTAACGCTGGCACCTGTTCATCCTCGAGCTGGGACTTGTGTACCACAATCTGGTACACAAACTCTTTGAACCAATCCGCTGTCATGATGTGGTAGCCCTTATCACCCAGTTTGTCGCCCCACGAGTTCTCCACCTACGGCAGCGGGTGTGGGTGTGAGTGAGTTCAGTACACGGCCACCAGATATGAGAACGGCATTGCACCCGTGTGAAGTGTGTGTGCATACACAGCGAAGCGTATTCAATAGTGGAGGTAGAGTGCGTGCTGTGAGTGGTATCCCTTGTGTATTAATAGTGTGTTCAACTGGACACGTACTAGGAAGATCAAGCGGGGCTACGCACTGCTTGCGACTACCTACTGGATTGTCCGCCATTACAGCACACTACCTGCCACAACTGAAGCCACACCATAGCGAAACATACATATCCCAATGAACTTACCCTGTACTTTGTGGGCAGCTCCCCTTCGACTGGCACATCACAGCCCGTGAATAGCATGGCGTGGGTCATGAGCGACGCCTTGTACCGCAATCTGTGTCCAGAAAAACAGGACAGGTGCAATGCGAGTGATGTGGCTAGTATTAGTATAGTGGTGAGGGATATCAGCGTGCTCGAGGAGACTTACACTCCATTACTCTCTGAACATATCAATCAATAACATTATTAACGAGTGATGTGTCGTATCTGTTGGTCATGCCCTTGTCTTGACAGATAAAACTATACGCCTATTAATGGGCCAACACCACAAACAGTATACCATATACATATCAGTCACCGACATCACCACTGACAAGCAAGCACCTTTCCCTTTTGTATGTGTGAAACCCCCTTGCCTTTGGTATATGTACAACAATGAACGACATGCAACGGCACATGCACACAATCCGTGTGATTTAAACAGCAGTCTCCACCATGCACCCGGTTCATGATGCATGCTTCTCCTAGTCAAAGGCCCCATGAGTATGTGTGCGTGTACTACTGACTGGACGAAATATATCAAAGGGTGTATGCACCTGAACAGATGCAATAGAAGACACAGGTGTTGTGAAGCCATTGCAAACACAGGGAACATCACCTGAGTGTGTTTTTCTGCACCTGATGTATAATACATGTATGATAAACGTACCATACATATGTCTTTTAAACCTGATGCATAAGTAATAAAAAATTAACGTACAATACGCAATCATCGTCGTAATATGAGCCACGTACATATGTTTACACCCATATCAGCACACACACTCAACCGCGTTAAACGCAGTACCTGTCAGCTTTGTCCATGGCTGGGGCCACACCCTCTCCGTACACCAGATCTACAGTGCATGCGAACAACCGATACGACAGAGGTTAGTAACAGGTGTGTGTACTTTGGATACATGCAGAGACATGCATGTACATTTGATACTACATGTATGGGAAATATGGAGGAACAATATACATAACTAGTTCAGCCTCATGATACACATATTAGTCAGTATGACCAGTAGTATTCGCAGCTAGTTCGACGACTACTCGCAAGTAGTTCAACCATATTATTCACAGCTAGTGCTACCACTATTCACAACTAGTTCTACCATTATTCACAACTAGTTCTACCAATATTTACAACTAGTTCAACCACTATTCACAACTAGTTCAACCATTATTCACAACTAGTTCAGCCTCAACAAACAGTACGGCACAGTCACATAGGAGAGTGTTCCCACAACACCTGGTCAGATCCAGTGCTATGGCTACTTTGGTGCGATGAACTCGTTGGTGTAGTTTGTATTCGCTGGACAATTGAGAGTCCCGTCGTCGCAAACAGGGACAGGTATTTTGTTTGGGACAATCTCGGGCCCAGAAATAAGCACTGCAGGTGCAGTACAGCAAGCACATGCATAGTTGTTATGTGTATTATCACCTACTCACCGTAGTCAAAGCAATTGGGATCCATAACACCCAGATCACGATTGTGTTCCTGTGACGGGAGAGATCCGAATTTTAAGCTTTGTTACTAAAGTACAGGACGCCGTGCACGATCAAAACAGTATATTTGGTGTATTTCTCTATACAAACTCTGGTACATATACACTAAATATGTATACTACTAGTATATATGTAGAAAATATACATGTACAGGAAGAAACATAAGATATACGACCATGTTAGACCTGGCTAGTAAATGGATGGAGTCCCGATTGAAAGTAGAAACGAATGCATGTCTACAACTGTAAGTATACATACATACACACATACCCACACACACATATA